ACACACACACACACACACACACACACACACACACACACACACACACACACACACACACACACACACACACATAAACACCCAGATTTAAAGCATCTCCTTTACTGTAAGTGTAATTTGTACTACAGTGTGAGTGAGTACGAGTGAGTGAGTTCTGCGTTTTTTGCGGAGCTTGCTCGTTTCCGGCAAAAAAACGAAAATCAAAGACTTGAAACACTTCGCGTCAGCACACGAAAGCAGAGGGATTCAGCCCCATACTGTCGGCCCTGTTTCATACTCTGAATGGTGTCTGACAGAATAAAAAAAACAAAAAAACAGGTACACACGCCATTAGTAATGTCTCTGACTCAATGGAATATAACCTATAAAAGTGACAATAAAATTAAATCCATTTATCAAGCTAGAATGAAAAGCATTTTAACTGGTTAGGTCTTGTTTTTCTTACATTTGCCATATTAAATAGAGTTGATGCTTTGCCAAAAAAATAGTTCTTCTGCATTATTCATCAAGAGATCACTAATAGGTGTTCCTTACAATAGAATCAGTGTAAAATTCTGGATTATTGAGATTAGGAAGTCAGTAAAACAGCCAAAGGCAGGTAAACTATATTCTAAGGGCACTGGACTTCAACTGAGTGTGTCTAATGGCCACTTTCAAGTAAAAAGGGTGTAAAAGTTAGTGTTTGGGTCTTTTTGTGGCAATGATGTTAGTGGAGACACACTAGCAGATAATTTGTAATTCTGATTTAAAACATTCCAATAAGGAGACTGAAACGAGCTTTTTACAGTCATGTGAGGTTGTTTGTAAAGATTAAAAAATCTATTGTTATGGTTCCATTTGAAATATAAAGAAAATCATAAAAATATAAATAAATAAATAAATAAATAAATAAATAAATAAATAAATAAATATAAAAAAATATCCACAGTTCTTGTTCTATTCCAACAAGTCTCGAACTCTCGATTATACATAGAAGTGTGGGTTTGAACCCATACATTTGTAATACTCAAATTGCAACAGGACAGTATATTTCAATGGGTCTTAGAGTTGGTGTGTATACCTGGATAGTATTTTCAAACAGCGTTACTTCATAAGTAACACCACGTAGCTCTAACATGGTTTGTCCATCTTTCATAGCATCTTTGTTTTCTTAGCAATGATAGGCCAAAATAACGTATACTCATATTGAAAAGCAGATTACATTCTATGGCAGGCTTGTAATTTAATGTAATTTTAATGTAAATGTATTGTAGTTTCTTCAACAAATTGGTGTTAACTGTGTTGTGTTGTGTTTGGGTTAACTGGAGGCTGGGTAGCTCCAGGCCTAGAGGGCCGCTGTCCTGCGGGTTTTAGATGTTTCCCTGCTTCAGATGAAATGGATGTCTTTTAAAGATTGCTAAACTCCGAATAGGTCGGCTGATGTTGTGTTGCTGTGAATGAGGTGTGGCGAAGCAGGGAAACCTCCAAACTGGGCTAAAATAGATAGCAGTTTTCTGGAAGAAAAGCTCAGGTTTCCAATTGGTTCTGATCCTAGCTCTGCAGAAACACTGAAAAGTCACTTCTGTGACAGATCTCCAGAGTCTTGTTGTGTGGAGCACAGTGAGAGTCCCTATACTTACAAATGGTCTTAGAATTATTTCTTGGACTTCTATCTGGAAATTTTAAAAAAAGGTAATCCTAAATGGGCATGATCTTGTTAAAAGCAATCTTAGCCAAGCTGTTAAGGGGAAGTTTTTTTCAATCTTAGCTGGCCCTGGCTGGCATGAGGCTCAGACATGATGTATTACTGGAGATTTTCTACAGAGCCATGCAGCTCTTCTTTTCTGCTTTCTCCAAATTTCAAGTTTTCTTTCAGAAAAGAGCTTAAAACTACTCCACGACCACGAGAAATGTGTTCTAAAATGAACTTTTACTTAAAGAAGAGACTATTTTTATGTGATGGGCTAAAATCCCAAACACATAAGTTGATATAGTAGAGTAGTATAGTAGTTTTCTTGAAATCCGCACAAAATAACTGTGAATCAGACAGTTTGACATGAAATATTCTTGTGAATATATTCTTGTCAGTCACTCTTTTTCCCTCATAGGGCAGTTATCACCATGGTAACAAAGACATTGACATATCATTGAAGCACATTATATGCCTCAACCACATAAGAAATTTGAACGGGTCATACACATTTAATATATTTCTTCTGGGCAGGATGAACATAAGTATAACAATATCTATGTCTTCTATCAAATTCCAATTCTATTAGTCAGGCATGTTGGTGTTATCTTATGAAATGTAATATGTATGACTAAAACTCTGGGTTCTCTGGCTTCCTCCCACCGTCCAAAAACTGTTGCCCAATGTTCCCCAATGTCGCCTCCACCCCGTTTGGAATAAGCGTGCTATAGACAATGGATGGATAAGCAAGAAAAAACTGAAGAAAAAGCCAACAAGCAGAACTGTGAATAACTTTGGACATGGGAGAAGTTAAAATGCTCATGTGTGATTGAAGATGACAAAATCAAGCGGTTGGGATGAAACACCATGCAAACCGTGTGGTACTGAGAAAATAACGTCTCATCTTGATTTCGATTTGTTTTTCAGACCATCTAAAAACGAGTGGCCCGAATGAACACGACATCAAATGATTTACTTTGCGATCAAATCCTCCAAATGCAACAAGGCTTAAGATACAGAAAGCCTTGACTTTGTTTTTTAAGACAGGTACAAATAAAGCCATGTATAGCTTAATTAGTCCTTTTCAACTACCTCGTTATTTATGAGATTCTGCGGAGAATGTGTGTTCACTATATTTCTGATTTTAGGAGTAAAACTGTTTAAAAATGACAAAAATGGATAATGATTTAATGATTTTGAATAATCGCCATTCTGGAAATCTTGTTGTCTTTTCAAATCTTTTTGTAGTGACTCAACTTTAGACTATGAGGTTGGAAAAATTCAAACTTCAGAGTCTGTATGCCGAATATGAAGCCACAAGTAAGAAACGACTTAGAACGAACTGTATCCAACCAATACTCTTTGTATCATTCAGTCTGAGTGTAGATAAGTTAAACACCAGAAAAAGAAAAGTGTTGATATTAAATGTTCACATTTCAGTTTTTTACTTGCATTTGCATACTTTGACCATTGCACGTTTTTAAAAAATAAATATATATTTAGCTTTTGGGGCATTAGGGAGATAATAGGATAGGATATTGATGCTGTCATAACCTTTTTCTGGCAATAACGTCAAATGATCAGGCTCAGTTGTTGCAGATAAATAAAGCAAGATATTGAATTAAAAATTGACAAGAGAGAAGGGAAAAGCCAAACTTCTTTATGTGTGAGTGAAGGCATGGAGCAATGTTAGGTTGACTAGCAAATAAACCAGATGAAATCTCAGGCAAAACCAAGTGGCTTGTTTAAACACAGCTAAAAGTAAAGTCTCAAACACGTTTTTCTAAGACTTTGTAACATGTTTTACACCCTTGACCCACTCCTTTTAAGTTATACTTTCCATATAATGACATAGTTAGACAGACAGGAAGCAGGGTAGGCTGCACTAACAGTAGAAGAGTTCAGACCATGAAAGGTGATTAAAAGCAAAGGACAGGTCTGCCGTAGCTACGAAAGCCTTGAGCTCCTGTGTGAGTGCTGTCCATTAGGTCAAAGGATTAGCTAAGGTTAATGGGGTTTGAGAAAAAAAAAAAAAAACATGGACATACAGCTCAGTAACTTTTAGAGCTCAGAATTTCCTGGTCACATCGGGGGTTTAAAAAGTCATTTGATGGTTAATAGAAGACTTCCTTTTCAATTTGCAGTCGGTGTAAGTTTTTCATCCCCCACTGTAGCAGATGATACCGGTGCAAAGCTTATCAAAGCTGCTTATACACAAATACAGCGTGTACCTCTGCCAAGACACAATGCCAACAGGGAAAAATGAGCAACTTGGACATTATATACAGGAATTTAATTTGTTTTGGTGTACCTTTTTTTTCTTTTATATATATATATACAGATAGCTAGCTAGCTAGATAGCTAGCTAGATAGTTAGCTAGATAGATAGATAGATAGATAGATAGATAGATAGATAGATAGATAGATAGATAGATAGATAGATAGATAGATAGATAGATAGATAGATAGATAGATAGATAGATAGATAGATATATGTGTATATTTCAGAAAGCAAGCACCCAAGGAGACTGCCTCCTGCCTCTGTACTTAAACTAAGTCCACAGAGCGGTCCCAGATAAGCGTCAGCATCCCGTATGGGGAGTTCTGCCTCAGTGGCCCGGGATCACCTTGCATATGTCAGCGGCAGGGCACACCTTAACAGATAATCTCAAGCTTTACGTGGCAGGAGCTCCCCAGATATTCCTGTCCCACGGGACTGGTGTGAGTCAAACCGACCGGTGTGGAAGTCAAGAGGAGGTTCTGAAAAGAAGCCAGGGAAGCGGTTTAACTGTCCATGTGCACGGTTTCCAGCGGGGTACTTTGAAGGTTATCTCGGCGGAGAGTTTTCGGTGTCTGTCCGTGTTCGGTATTCCCTATTAAATTGAACCGAGGCGGTGAAGGAAGCCGCAAAGCGGCCCTGACAAGTTGATTAATGGTTTAATCAGAAGTGGTGTGTCAGCGTGGAGATGGTTATCTCCTGCACTGCCACCACAATAGCTTTGCACCTGAGGGACATGGGCTGTCAAACACGTTAACATACATCTGTCACTGGATTCTCGGCAAGGAGAAAGACTCCGAGAGGGAAGCTGTGTCAGAACTACATCCTTTTTTCCCCTCATACCCTCGTGTTTTTGGTTCGTGCCCACCAGCGTTGAGAACGCAGTCAGATTTAAACTCTTCATTTTCCTATTCAATTCATTCGGCGCAGATATTCAGCGTGTGCGCTTTTACTTAGAGGTGCGTTTACTCACAGCTTCCGAATTTAAGGGGACAGGCGTGGGCATCCATTGGAAAATCTTCCAACTGCATGGGACACTCCGCAGAGATAGTGAGCCTGTAAGAGGAAGGCAAGCATAGAAAGATGGAAAAATTAATTTATTGCAACAAAACAAAACCTCACTCACCAACAAAGATACAATAGGTTCACTAACTCTTTTTTGTTTATGTCAAGTTTTACTTTGATTAGTCTTTAGTTAAAAGTAACTCAGCCACCGTAGGGTCTCGTCATGAGCGCTAAGAAAGGAAGAATGATGCAACTATGAGTGTGAATTGGGCCTCAGAGAATTGTTTAGTGGAGAAAGGATGCCACCTATCTGTAAGAGTGCAAATTAAGTTTTGGTTTAAATAGATCAGAGAGCGAACGGCCTTCCATAGACGCTATGACTAAGTAATTGTGAGGTTCACAGCTTTGTGTAATGCTGCCCTCTGGTGGACACACGGGGAACAGTCACGTCTGCTCATTGACAAACCTCCTCCATTTTCCATCCATTAAATCTGTGCTTTGCATGTGATTTTGCTGGCTATATTGCTGCTAAAATTAGACAGTGTAGCTGTAATAAAATTCACGTTCTTTTATCTTCCATTCCAATAGCTTTATAAACAGTTTGACACTGGGGAATTGAAATGAACATTTCATTAATAAGACTGACATTGCCAGTAATGTGGCAATATACATACGGGAGGAAGATTAAAGCACGCTGCCTGATATTGTTTATTAGGTGGAGGCAGAGCACATTGGAGATAAGATCTAGAGTGAGCACAGAGGGGAATTTCAACATATTAAAGGGCATCTGCTGTGTCAGCTGTTTGAGTGAGAATGTGCCTCATATCAAAACACATATCTTTATACGTCAGACAGACTCTGTAAACACTGATGACCCTGGAATTTTCAGTATGGTATTATACGGGTCGGAACAGTCAATTAATGATCTCCGTTTTAATGAGAAGATTGAGTCACATGGGCATCTTATCTTCTGTTGTGACTCCCTGAATTGGTCATTTTTGGGTTGTGCCTCTCACTTTAACTTGGCGTTTAAGAATTCAGATAGGTATTAAATAAAAAAAGATGGAATTAAAAAAGGTCAGACCTTTATTGGCTGGATCTAATGCTTTAAAAAAAGCCAAAACATTTTCTGAATTAAGACATTTGTGTCAACGGTAGTCAGAACTAACGCTACAGTTGCAGTGTGAACACAGAGGGTGAACAAATCCACGTTTCTACATCCAGACTTTCAACAAATTGACCATCGGGGTGTTTGTTCACTCAGGGGCCCGGTGTGTTTTAGGGAATCTTCTCGAAAATGCAGTGTGCTGCAAGGCTTTGCACCGCCGGGACCAAAACTCTGTTTCCTCAGAGAGATATTTTCATGGTACAGTGGCTACAGTGCTGCAGACTACAGTATTTCTTCTCCGTGCTAACACCGGAGAGTAATGCAACCATTAAATGCCTCTCTAATAGCACTGTTTCCGGAACACAAATGCATTAGTGGGCCATTGTAAACTCATTTCTACCAGCTTGTACCATCGCTAAATATGCTGTAGATTTGTAGCTGTTTTAAAAGGGAGAGGATCAATGGCTGTTTTTTGACAAGCAGCCATTTCCATTTCCTTGAGATTCTTCTTTCAATATTCATTCGGAGGATTTATTGCCCTGCTTAGATGATGACCCAGCGGCGACACGCAAGTGGGTGTAAACTGGATGCTTCTATCAAGGAGGGATACACCACTTTCTGTAGCAGGATTTGAATGCATTTTGCATCCACGCCCCTCTGGGTATTTCAAATAAGTGGATAAGTAGGGTTTAACTAGGAGAGAGAAAGGCTGTATCGGCTCTTAAAACAACATACATTAAAAAAAAAAGACGTCTGTAAGATCCGTCTGGTGGTTTTTCATTTGAAGAAAGCTTTGAAAAGGATGCAGCGAGCGTTGAAAGTACTAATTAAAGGAATGGATCATGCAGTTCAGTTCTGCTGGATGTAGAGACAGAGTTAATAAAAGAGCGAGAGAAGGACACAGGCGCCGGGGGGTCAACGCAAACATTTCCAGCTCCCCTGACCTCCAGTTTACTGTGTGAGGACAACATAATGATGCATCGGGGCGCCGAGGAGACATGTGGAATGAGTGTGTGGGCCGCATCGGAGCAGCGGGGGTCTTAAAAAGCCATTAAGCCCAAAGAAGAGGCTGATGGAAGTTTTAGTCATCCCTGCATCGCTAATTGAATCGCGCAACACGCATAAACAGCGCCACTTGGCTTTTACGAGGGTTTTAGACGCGAGTCTGGGGGGTGCGGCTCACCTCATGGTGTACAGAAGCGTCCCGTCGTCTTTGAGCCGCAGCAGCTTGTTCGGCGTGGTCATGTTGTGGGCGATGGACTTTTTCCCGTTGAGGAAGAAGGTGTCGGGGGTCCAGATGTTGCTGGCCAGCAGGTTGTTCAGGGGCAACATCTCCATGGGGCCTTTGAAGCAAAGCCTTTCATCTTTCCAGCTTTGACGGAAGAACACGTCAATGGTGTATTCCTGCGGAGAAAAACACCGAACCGCTCAGTCCCATGACAACTGAAAAAAGTACTGAGATGCATGCCTTGGTCATAAAAGGCAAGTCTTTTTATTTAACAAATGACATCCACGCATACGATCAGTGGAACTGCAAGTAACTGCATCAAAATGCAAACATCCCTTTGTTTAAATGGACAGATGCGGATGCTGATAAGTTGGAGTAAGACATAATTTCACGTGCATTGAATTGACTTCATCACACTCTCAAAAACTAAAGCCCTATCATGGAATTTTTGCTCTCACTCTTAAACAATTGACAGATTAAACAATTGCCCACACTTTCCACACATTCACGTTGATGTAGTACATTTCAGATGCCTTAAATAATTGTCAAATTATGTTGTAAAAAAATTTCTTTCTTTTTTCATCTTAAAAAAACACAATGATAAATATGAGCGAACTGAAAGAGGTTCTTACCATTTCAGTGTCAGACACTGGACCAAAGCTTGTGACAAAGATGTTGGTTTTGATTTCTGTCACCTTCTCTGTAAGAACAGAGAGAACATGGTAAGCCTTTACAGAGCCATACTGTGAGAAAAAAGACATTATTATGAGTGCATTCTCCATTTTACAGGCAATCCGTTCACTTGATAAAGGTTTTTACCCATCTCTGCCACAAATACTCAAGTCAAGCTGTTACATTATGGGGTTAACTGAACAATGTCGGTTAGTGTCATCTAGTGGTGATGTTGAATATATCAACTATCAACCCCACAGAAGTTGTGACGGTAAACTAGATCTGATGCTACATTCACATGAGCAGGCACAAGGGACTCAAACATGATTTTTTTCAGCAAAAGTATGTGGTCCTTGATAGTATCCTCACACAAAAGCTAGCCTTTTCCCCCCTTCCCAGTCTTTTCCTATAAAACCGAAGAGCCTTTTTGCATTCCATAGAGCTAAATACAATTCACACATTAGCTGCCAAAGATTCCATTTCAGATTTTAAATCAAATTTCAAAGTGATTTCTCAAATGTGACACTTTCTGTTGCTGTTGTTACCCCCCAAAATGGTTGTACTCCAGGCACATGCTGTTTCAACAGACAGATGCTTGTGTTCATTATTGTGATCAACCAAATCTGGTAGAAATGAAATCAGAATTGATTCAGAGATTGAGAACATGGCCTATAAACACAAGCTGAACAGGGTTCTCCGAAACAGTCCCCGATACCGTGATACTTCAGACACAAAAAAAACAAAAAAATCTCAGCACTCAAAAATCTGGCATTCGTCATAAAGCGTAAAACAGAAATGAGTCACAGACTATGTGAAATCCCACTCATGTTCTTAGAGCGCAGCAGTTATTAGTATGAATTAAATGAATACAGGTCCTTAAAAGTTTCAATTCCTCTACACAAAGTAACATATAAATGATGTGCAATTATGTCTGTGGATGCAAACCTGTTGCACACACCTTTTAAAATAGATACTCATTCGTCCACTAGTATCTTAGCTGACATTTAGCTGAATTGTTTTTTGTTCTTTTTCATTTCATCCACTAGATCCTCTGCATTGCTGGCAAAGTGGTTCCACAAACCACCACTTTTGGGAGTGGAGATTATTGTTCAGGATTGACAGTTTGACACACACTTGACCGCTTGCCGTATGGAATCCTGCCCATAAAGACACAGCATATTCCTCTGAAGCTTTTATCTTTAAAAAAAAAAACAAGCTAGAAAATGTGCACGGTTCCAATCCTTGGATAAAAATGTTGTGGTGTAGATTGTAGAAATGTTTTGACTTGAGTGACCTCTATTGTCCACCTAAAAAAACAATTATGGAACGTCAAAGATGGAATTCCAAAAAAAACAGGATTTCCCTTTGTGAAAACCAAAACGTGACTCCTGATCTTAAAACATCTGCCACATTGGACCCTTTTAGTGCAGTATTTCTTTTTCCCTTTTAATCAACACATAAATTTTATGATCTAATTTTTTTTTTTGGGGAGGGGGGGGGGGGGAGGCAGTTTCCATTTACGGCGTTGAACAGGATGAACATCGCTCTGCGTTTGAGAGAACGCCTTGCTCAAGGTTACGCAGAATGTGTCCGAGGCAACATTAAATCACACGTAGAGGTGGTTTATCCGGCTGAGCGTGGAGGGGAGCGTGGAGGGATGATGTAGTGCCGAGCGTGTGGGCTAACCGCTGGCGATTTTTCACACTGCTTTAACCACAAGGGCCTCCATCAAGCAGCACGGCCGGCCGTGTTAATTACCGAAATGACCACCAGTTGTGAGGAGGTTAACACGTTCGGTGGGCATACCTCCCAATCCTGGGCGGAGTCTGTTGTCATAGCCGTCCAGCAGTCCGTCCAGGATCCGAGTGAAGATGGTGATGTTGTTGTTGATTTCTGCCTCTTTAGGAGTTCCACTTACATCCTGTGAGAGGCTGGATGAGAAATTAAGAAATAAATATTGAGGTGGAAACATAGTAAAGCCAGCTTTGATTTGCGTTACAATAAGATTATCCCAAAAAAACAACAATTCCAAAGTGATTTTTTTGTTGTTGTGAGGATGAGAATAAGTCAAAGTGTGAGGTGTGAGTGGAAACAAACAAAACTGAGTCAGTTCCTTACCCCGGACGGCAGGTGATGCTCACAAGCAGGACGAAGAACCGCAGACTTCTCATTGCAAAGTTGTCACAAATTCCATCACCCATTCCTGAAAAACACACACGCGCGCTCGCTCGTTTTAAACTCCATCAACGTGCTTACTTCACCATCGAGCTAACGCACAGATCGGACCCCTTTATAGGAAAAAGCTGGCTGTTTCATAACGACAAACCATCCGTAGGCTGGATTGTGTTATCACTATGTGGCTAACACAGTGTCACCCGGCGTGGGAAACAAAGAAAGAAAAAGCAAATGCACGTGAATACGAAATCCAGCTGTGTCCACATGCACTACAAAGCCACATCAGGATCTTTGGAAGTTTGCTGATGTAATACCCAGTAAAAAAAGGGAGAGAGAGAAGAAGAAAAAAAAAGCAAAGTAGCAGAGTCTTTGTTGGATCCTTTTTTTCTCCTGCAGCCCACCCACATATCTCACACAGCCAACAGAGTCTGGCAGCTATTGAACTCATTAAGCTGACTCCACTTCAGCATCTACAACCGCTGTCCAACATACACACACACACACACACACAC